TCGTCGTCCGTGTCAATGTTTTACTTTTTCGACTTCTTCTTGAAAACTACAAGCCTGAATGCTCTGATACTTGGTGTGTATGTACCTAGGGTGGACCTCTCTTAGATTTGTTCATTTCATGATGATATCTTCAATTCTCTAATTTTGGTGAATATTTTTGTAATTTTTGGTAAAAAGTGATATTTTCGACTTCTCGTTAAAAAGCCAAAATTACAATTGCTTTGATATTACATATATAGGTACTACATGTGGACCTTTCTAAGATTTGTCCATTTTGTGATAATATCCTCAATTCTCTAATTTTGGTGAATATCTTTGTCATTTTTGGTAAAAAGTGATATTTTTGACTTCTTGTTAAAAACTGCAAGTCTGATTGCTTTGAAATTACATATATAGGTACTACATGTGGACCTCTCTCAGATTTGTTTATTTCGTGATGATATCTTCAATTATCTAATTTTGATGAATATTTATGTCATTTTTGGTAAAAAGTGATATTTTTGAATTCTTGTTGAAAACAGCAAGTTTGATTGCTATACATACTATACATATTGTTCATTTTCTAATGATATCTTCAGTTCTTTAATTGAAATGTGTCTTGCTAACAGCAGAACTATCTCAGCCGAGAGGCTGCTTGTTTTTTCTCTGATGTCATTTTTATTGTTCTTATGGGTATCCATTTTTTAAAATAAATCAAAAGATGCTTTAATTTGTTTATCTATTGTTTGTAATTGAGGTTTTGGAACTATATTTCAGCTTGAAGGAAACTGTACATTGCCCATATCTGCTTGTGCCGAACAGCTATCACCAAGAAATTACTTTTTGCAGACCCTATTTTTAAGACCCTTTGTTATATAATTCAGGTCCTGTTGATAATACGAACAAATATCATATCAAATATCATGGTTCTGTTACCCAGGTTGTGTTTCGATCATGTGACTTTCAACCAATCAATGATGTTGTAACAAAGCATATTTGACGCTAATTGAAGTGTAGTCGTACCATCCAATTTCCGGCGTTGATTCACATAGTCTTTTTGTGCTGTGACAGGCTTCAAAATTATTCGCTGAAAAACATCAGTATATTTTGACAAACGGGTGATATTTGACCTCAGTTCAAAAAGAAAATACTAGGCTGAGATACATTAGAGTCCACGGCGAATCAGTTTTCTCTGCAAGTTGGGAAATAAAGTAAACCAGAGTAGGGTCGATAATTTTCAGCCCTGAAGGACTTCCGTGTGAATCCTGAGTTTTGAATTGTTCATCGACTGGTCACCAAATATTTATGGCTATAACTAAATTTGACACGTTTTTTTTTAGCCCAATAAATAATTCATACATGTCAAGCTCTGTTTGATTTTTTCAGGGCATGTGGCCGTTTTTAGTTATTAGAAAATATTTGTTGTGGCACGGTCCCTCTATTCCCGGTCTGGATAGAGGGACTGTGGTTGTGGGAACACTTTTAGGGTACGTATACAGTCACATAGACTGAACTCATTCAATGATCGTGACTTATTTTGGAAAATTGAATGTCAAATTTTACCAGACCGACCGACGTGGATTTGGTATCGTTATTTTTGAAATTAATCATTAACATTTCCTCGTTTCTCTGCTCTCAGGCTGTCAAAATAAGTGACCTAATGCTTTTTTTCTGTCTCATTAAAATAATAAAAAATATTACATCTAGAACAGTTCTGTTGCTTTCATGATACAAGTGCCATACAACTATTAGATTTGAAGTGCCGTTCAGAATTTAATAATAGTTAATACTAGTTGTATGTTCACACTTTACTATCAAAACTACCATTTCAACCGCTCATGTGCCAGTGATCCGTGTTTGGGCGAGCCGTCAGTGTTTCAATAAGCAAGCAAGCGAAAAAAAAAACGCGATTAAAATGTGGTCGGTTTCGGACAAGACCGCATGGTCGGAAATTAAGCGATAAGCGGTTGAGTAAAAGCGGAAGGTTGGGCGAAATGAGTACTGTATGACCATGTTTCTCTGACGAAGTCTCGACTGACAATAATGCTGACAATGGACGTTAGATAAACACGCATTGTTTGCGACGGGAAGCTTATCATCCGTTATATCAGAATCGTCAACAACAGAGTATACAGATAAGATGTTATCATTTAAATCCTTCCAAAGATAAACATTATATACAAATATCCACGAAACGCCAGTTGTAGTCTTTTCTGCTAGCGTTTTAAAACACTAATTTAAGCAACGGTATTTCGCAATTTTGATCTTTTGTAAACCTGGAATGATGTATCAAGGTCTAAAGTAACCGTTTTATCAATTTTTGAAAAATCAAGAAAAAAGTGAAAATTTCCCTTCTTGCTACCTTAATTAACCTATCAATTGACCTAGTGAAGGCATCCATGCAATCAATAAGTAGGATACTCCATTATCTGTATTGAGGATGCAGATGGCTAAATTCCAAGCTGGCAGTGTCACACACACACAGTACAGTACAGTGGACCAATAAAATGAAAACTTAAAACATGTGTACACATTATTACCAACGATTGAATGTGATTGGTCAAATCCAAATGCAGATGATTGCCCAATAAATAAATATGAATTCTGAGTGTTTTTGAAAATAAACATCATAGTATATAATACTGAGTAGCAATGATAAGTTGGCATAAAGTAACCCAGGAAAAGTTCTTCTTGGTAGATTTGGTGTACATATTTTTGGATTGGTGTCCATGGTTACTGGTCTATAGACAATTTTTATTAGAGAAATTTATATGGTATAATCAGAATTATTGATTATAACCTCCAAAGTTTCATTATTTAATTTATATGTACAATGCTAATAGGAAATATTGCTTGATCCTTCTAAATATAAATGTTCTTTTTTCCTGAAATCCCAAACTGTGCTTGTCTTTATCTTGCAAACAAAGTTAACTCTTTGTACATGTATTTACAGGTGGGCTGATGAACTTACAGCTGATGGAGAACCTGGCTCTCTTTCAAATCGTCATTTTGATCACCCATTTTTCCAGGTACTGTGAAAAAATAAATTTCTTTATTCTTGAACTGCTGCAATATTCTGTGGTAATAGATACACATCAAACTGCTATAAAAAATGAATGGATGATTTGTTGGAAACCCTTAACAGAAGTTTTAAATGTATATACAAAATATTAATAATTATATAGCTAAATATTACCACATATTTATATAAATTTCTTTGTGATTGATTTTTCAGTATCTTAGGGTGTCATCAAGTTACCAAATCACATACATTATGCATACACATATAAATAATTGTATAAACGAATAATATATAATTTTATTCTATTTCTGAGAAATTATGCATTTTTTTGGCCCTACATGTAAATATGTTAATCAACAGTTGCAACTTCTGTAAAACTATTTATTTTCACAGACATTTAATTTCACTATTTTGATATTTTAAGCATATTCACTGTGTTTTAATTTCACGAATTTGTCAAGGAAACAATGAGTTTTATTGTTATTTTACATGTTCATGTAAATGTTCCATTGTTTATCCAAAATTTAACGGTTGGGAACACCTAATCTATAATGTCGTGGGGAGAATCCTGACATATTTGTAATGAATTTATTTGCTATTTTATCAGAATCTTATACAAAGTAAGAAACTACAAGTTGATTCATGAATCGCTTTAATTCAAAAAACACCGAGTGTCAGTGACTTTCATAACAAACTTTGCCTTCATAAATGCCATGAAATTCTAAAAATTCAAAAACTTTTAACTGTGAAAATTAAAAAGTTTATAGAATTTAAAGCTAAGGGCTTTCAACAAATAATACAACTTAATTTTTTCTTGGTAGGCTGTTGGAATGTTCATTGGCGAAATGACCTGCCTGCTTGTCTTCAAGTTTATGGTTTGTTACCGCAGAACAAAGAATATACCTGTGGACATTGGTGAGCAGAACTTCTCGCCATTTGTTATGATGCCAGCATCATTATGTGATATGACCGGTACTTCTCTTATGTATCTTGGTAAGTTCATTCTGCTAGGATTGTCCTTATAATCACTCATGTGTGTATGTTTGTCTATGTGTGTGTGTTACCTTCATGTATTAACTCTTCTGCAAGTTTTTTTGGCTGGGTCGATTTTGTTCAAAATTGGCAGACAGGTCACACTTTAACTCTGCTTATGGTTAGCTGTTTTAAAAAAAGTGTTTTGACATTTTTTTTTCACCGGGAATGGTTGTCAGGTGGTAAAAATGCCCAGATGTTTGCTCCTAAGAATATAATAAAAAATTAAATATTGGTATCTAACATTTTGTTTAATTTGTTTTTAATAATATTAAAGATTTTAATAATATTAACATTTATTTATCACATATTATTATCAACAGATATAGATCCTCTGATAAACTGCTTTCAAAAGACTCAATATGCAGTGGCTTTACACATGAGTGCTGTGTGACCATTTTCATATCACAATGAAATTATGCTAATTTAGTGTGCTATCCTGGTGTCAACCAGACCCAGTCAAACACATGCATCTTTCAAGGTTTCCCAAAAGTCTCATATCTGTTTAGTACTGTAAAATCTGTATTAGAAGTTGCATTCCTAATAGAAGCCGCCGCATCCATTCTCTTTGAACAAGTGAGACCCAAAAATTCATCATTTCTCATATGTGTAGATGCTGTATTAGAAACCACATCTCCTATGTTGCATTGTACCATTTTAAGAGAAGCAGCAGCTTTTAATACAGATTTTATAGTAAATAGATCTTGACTGAGGATTTGACAACTCTATTCGGTTTGTGGCTTGCAACTCAGGGTATGGGTCGACTTCTTTTTTTTTGGTGTTCAATTTCAGGTAGGATTGGTTTATAGATCCAGTATGACAACCACAACATAGAGCTATCAGCAAAAATTTAAATGATGCTTAACTGGTCATAGAAAATTTATAACTTGTTAATTTTAGGTTTGACTTTAACATCTGCATCGAGTTATCAAATGCTGCGAGGCGCCGTGATCATCTTTACTGGAATGTTGTCTGTTGGGTTCCTAAATCAAAAACTTTACTGTTTTCACTGGACGGGTATCATGACTGTGGTGGCTGGTCTTGTTGTTGTCGGTGGTGCTGATATACTTTTTGGTGAAGAAACCCATAATTCAGACATAAACGGTATCATAACAGGTAACTACAAATTCAAGTCATTGAAGTTTAAAAAACACTTTCTCCTACCGTTTATCAAGGCAAGGAAATTCTGAACTTTCCACTAATTTTCATTCTCGACCTATATGCAAATGTTTAGAATCTATATACAATGTAGTGTGCCACTCACTAGACACCACCCAAATGATATCTAGGTATCATTCTAGTGATGTATCATTACCTATTGGGATTTATGCAAATGATACATTTGGCTGTTGTCAGCAATCTTATTGATGACATTTGCAATTATCAGTAATTAGCTGAGCAACTAATTAAATTTACAGTCATTAACTGAGCAGCATGAGATATTACTAGCATCATACCTGATGTATAGTTGATGGCATTTTCAATCAACCAATCAAATTTACAGTCATTAACTGAGCAGGTTGAGATATTACTAGCATCATACCTGATGTATAGTTGATGGCATTTTTAATCAACAAATCAAATTTTAATACAGTCATTAACTGAGCAGGTTGAGATATTACTAGCATCATACCTAATGTATAGTTGATGGCATTTTCAATCAACAAATCAAATTTACAGTCATCAGCTGATCAGGATGAGATATTACTAGCATCATTCCTAGGCGTAGTTGACAGCATTTTCAACCAATAAAATTGCGATCAATAGCCAAGTGTCAAGAGATATTACCACTTGTGTTAGTGAAATGGCATATTCATGTAGTGAGTGAAATGCTGCATGGATTGTAGACTAGTAATAAACATAAATGCTGTAATAGAATTCTTTTTGCCGATATTTCTCCAAAGAAGGCCATGTGCTGCAGACATTAAACCTCATATTCATTATATTGTCATGCATGTAGCAACTTGAAACGGGGCAGAAAATAGAAGAAAATACAGTATACCACTTTGTTGTGATAAATTGAGAAAACTTGTCAGAATAAAATTCACATTTAAGGATGCTGTGTTCATCTTTGGTATTGATTTTCTAAACTGATATTTTCATATAAAATATTTACTGAACCACACAAAGCTATATATTGATGGAAAGCCTATTTCACACTGGATATGAAATCGACAAGATAGTGTGTGTATGAACATTGGATTTTTGACTCCCTGCAGCAGCAAATTTGTGAACTTGCAATTGTCTCTCACCAAATTAAAATGGTGGACTTCTCAGCATATCAAGCTAGTGACTAAAACAAACGATTCACCTTAAGGTAGAAGCCTAGTCATATTTTTTGACAAAATTGGTCACAAATCACGTGACAATGTTCATTAGTTTATTATGTACAATCATGAAGCTAATGTCTCATGGTACAATGAAATAGCATGATTTTGTGTGTTACAGTTATGCTTTTTGAGAAACGTGTCCTAATATTTCTTGAAAATTGCTATTTTTAAAACAATTCCATAGAACACAATGTTAATGAAAAATTGGACTTTTTGACACTTTTTAAAACCCAGATTTTTTAAATAATTCAGAACAACAAAAAGTACTCCATCATTAACAATATGTGATTTTTTCAGTCTATGTCACCAGGCTAGATTTTGAGATATTGCATAAGGAATTGGAACCTGTGGTAAAAGTGTTATAAAGTGTCAAAATGGCAACTTTCCACTAAAATACAACCATAAATTTCTCGAAAAAAAAGGCTGGTGACCCCCAACTTTTTTTCAGTCATTATCCTTATATTGCCTTGGAGTACAATTTATTGCAAAATGAATAAATTCTGGTTTTCTTAATTTATGAGTAGGCTTCTACCTTAATGATGAATGAGATTATAATATATTACAGGAAATCTTCTTATTATCATGGCACAAGTTATAGTCTCAGTTCAAATGGTGTATGAACAAAAATTTCTGACTAAGTACAACGTGCCTCCGCTACAAGCTGTTGGATGGGAAGGTGAGTTGACATTTTTTGCAAACGTCGCTAGAATCATTACTCATGCCAAGTAGAACTGAGTGTACGTAATGGGATCTCTGACTGCAGTAGTTAGCCACTAGAATTAACCTTTTCACCACCAGTTCCCTCTTTTCATCACACTTTCACAAAATAGTCCTGTTTATAGTCTTCACTTTCTTTCAGAAGATTTGGACAAAAATATCAAAAGTTTTTGAATAAAAACTGAAAATTAACTCAAATTTCATCTGTTGGCTTCAAAATTAGAGTTCATTTTAAAAATATTAAAGAATAAAAGAAAGAAAAATGCAGAAAAATGTTAGAGAGAATGTCTGTTGATGAAAAGGTTAATTATACAGCGTTCATTTCAAATGACATCACTGGGTATTATGTCATGTGATTGATTATTCAACATACAAAAACTAAAATAACGACAGCTGAATTCATAATTTCTGTGGCCTTGAATTAATTCTGCAATGATTTTTTTCAGGAAATAAACTACCTTGAGATTCACTGAAATCACTGAAAATCACAGCAAAGTAACATTGTTGGGGGCTCAGTCCACAATTAATGTGTTTCCCACCTGAATAACGTTCTCTGATTATGGCCGTTCTATTTTTCGTAAAATCTCTGAATTGTGACAAACATTATTGGGTATAACAAAATACACTGAATAAATATTACAATCAGAATAATATTGAAAAATCTAAATTATATATTCTTTGCTATAATTTTTAATCACTTACTTTTAATACATTGTTGAATATGATAAACTTTAATTTTATCTAGTTCCAGATTAAACCAGTTTTAAAACCAGACATACATTATCAGTATCACATGACCATGATATGATGCATATTAATGACTGTAGCGATGCATGATAAACATTATCAGTATTATATGTGCTGCCGAACAGTATCTGAAGAAAACCAAATTAAACATCGGTACTGTATTTATCGCTTTAATACAAGAATTTCACATTGGATAACGGCTTGCATGGTGCAATAAAAATAGTAATAATAATGATGATAACGATTGAAGGTTTATTTTGAAAACAAAATATCACTATGAAAGGTGATGTTTCAGTCAATTTTGAAAACCAATGGCGATCGTAACTGCAAATGAGTGTCCTCTGACACACTTGGCCATTGTACATAATTAGCATAAATTAGCATATGATATGAGAGCAAAGTTCCAACAAAATCAATATTGTTCTATCTATTTTTGGACCCTCAGAGTTGGTCATTGGATAAAAAGGTTACCTGCTTTTACTTATTTGTATTTTACTTTTGTCTATAAAGGTAGAGATGCAGTTTACCCGACATGTATTTTAATTAGTTAATTAGGAAACCAAGATGACCTCCCTTGTCCACAAAACTATATATTTTCGGAAAGCTAATTGTATGAATTTTAAAATTTTGTTAGTATTGTTCTTTTATGGACACTGTAGTTTGAAATATGCACAAAAATGTGATTTTTTTGGTCAAAAGTGATTTAAAAAAAATTAGCTTCTAAACCATGCTTCTGTTTCCTGTATGGGTACATCTGTTTATTATGAAGAAAACGCCGTCTTGAAAACTGTTTACCAGTTGTCAATTTTGCAGGGCAGCAGCCTAAATTTCACTACTTCAAGTTTATGCATAAATTAACACCCAGGCTAGTTGTCTGTACGATTGTTGTAACACTGTTCGACCAAAAACAATGCCCTGACGGCGTTTTGAAGATGAACACATTGTCAATCATTTGTGAAAATTTCAAAACAAAAGGTCAAAGCGTTTAGGAGCTATTTTTTTTTTAAGTTCTGGGATGTGCACTAAAAAGAAGCTGAGATAATTGCTAATTTGCATAACAATTCACTCAGTAAGAAGTTTGCTAATGCTCATAATTAAAATGGCTGTAACAGTTTCAAATTTAAATGTATTATCGTTTTGTTAAAAGTTAAATACATTTGTATAGTGCATAATATGGAGTTCCCGTCATTTCATTTTTTCACCATGTTTCTTTTTTATTAGCTCCGCTGTCGACTTTGTCGAGCGGAGCTTATCATATGAGTGATTGTCCGTCGTCGTCCGTCGTCGTCGTCGTCGTCCGTGTCAATGTTTTACTTTTTCGACTTCTTCTTGAAAACTACAAGCCTGAATGCTTTGATACTTGGTGTATATGTACCTTGGGTAGACCTCTCTCAGATTTGTTCATTTCATGATGATATCTTCAATTCTCTAATTTTGGTGAATATTTTTGTCATTTTTAGTAAAAAGTGATATTTTCGACTTCTTGTTGAAAACCGCAAGTGCAATTGCTTTGATATTACATATATAGGTACTACATGTGGACCTCTCTCAGATTTGTTCATTTTGTAATGATATCTTCAATTCTCTAATTTTGGTGAATATTTTTGTAATTTTTGGTAAAAAGTGATATTTTCGACTTCTTGTTGAAAACCGCAAGTCCAATTGCTTTGATATTACATATATAGGTACTACATGTGGACCTCTCTCAGATTTGTTCATTTTGTAATGATATCTTTAATTCTCTAATTTCGGTGAATATTTTTGTAATTTTTGGTAAAAAGTGATATTTTCGACTTCTTGTTGAAAACCGCAAGTCCAATTGCTTTG